GGGCCCTCTCTTCCCACCTTCCTTTCTTGTTAGAATGTTTTTAATAAATGTGGATTCTTTAACCTTGAGGAGCAGATTTATGTATGGTAGGCATGCCTGCATGTATGTATGTAACCAGCAGAGAGCTTACAATGCGTCAGGCGGTGTTCTAAAACACTTCATAAATATTAACGTTCAATCCTTCCTATTAGTAAGGTATAATGAAATTATGCCTATTTTATAGCTGAGGAAATGGCCAGCCTAATATTCATTCATCAAACATTTATTGAGCCTTTACATGGAGCTGGGCCTTGTGCTGGGCCCTGGGGATAGAGAAATGAGTTGAACTACATTTCTCTCCTCACGGACCTCTCAGTAGCCCTCAAATTCTCAGGTGCATGAGAGCCCTCAAAACTTGTTTAAAATGCAGGCTCCAAACTCCATCTCCATTCTCAGAAAGTCCACCTTAGTTACAAGTGATGATTCTGTAGTTGGTGGGGGTGGCATCACACTTGCAGGTGTGACCCTTTATTCTAGAATAATGGTGTGTGTGTGTGTGTGTGTGTGAGAGAGAGAGAGAGAGAGAGAGAGAGAGAGAGAGAGAGAGATTCTGCATGTTGTGGTTAAAGTCGGGAAACATTTCTCAGCCAAGATGACATCTGAGCTTGAACTGAATCTGGAAAGGTGAGCAAGAGTTTCTTCCTGTGCAAGGAGCACTGTCTTAACCATTAAGCCTAAATATGTTCCTACTCTCTGACCCTCACCCATGTGTGCACAAAACAACACCTAGATGAATGTAAGCCGCAGCACTGTTCAGAGACTGAGACACTGGCAACAACCTAAGTATGCAGATCTAAGGCAGTGGATAAAGAAAATCCAGTGACGTACATGATGATAGGAATTACTCCTAGGACAGCACTGACTATATTCCGGGCACTGTTGCACATGCTTTAGTGCATTAACACAGCCAGTCCTTGAAACAACCCTATGAGAGAATGGATACATAAATATGTATGGCTGAGTCTCTTTGCTATCCACCTGAAACTATCACAACATTGTTAATGAGCTATAATCCAACATAAAATAAAAAGTTTAAAAAAACTGCCAAAACTCTATGAGAGTTGTACTGCTCTTAACCTTAGAGGTACTGTTACTATTGCCATCACTCCTTCCCCCGCTTTATAAATGAGGTAACTGCTGACACAGAATTACATAGCTCACCTGCACTCTCTGAGCTGGTAAGTGATGACCCTGGGATTGGAATGTGAGCTCTTGGGGCAAAAGCTGGGAGGAGAGAAAAAGCAAGAGGGCATTTCAGTTCAGTTCAGTCACTCAGTCGTGTCTGACTCTTTGCGACCCCATGGACTTGCAGCATGCCAGGCTTCCCTGTCCATCAACAACTCCCGAAGCTTGCTCAAACTCATGCCCACTGAGTCGGTGATGCTATCCAACCATCTCATCCTCGCTCATCACCTTCTCCTCCTGCCTTTAAGCTTTCCCAGCATCAGGATCTTTTCAAATGAGTCAGTTCTTTGCACCAGGTGGCCAAAGTATTGGAGTTTCAGCTTCAGCATCAGTCCTTCCAATAAAGAGGGCATTTGGGGCAACTAGAAATGGCTCAGAACACTAACGTGTGGTTTGAGCAGAGAGGGTTCTGGAATTGTTGAAATAGGGATGGGTGGTCTGGGCTAGATGAGAGAAGGTTGAAGTGGCAGGCTGAGGAGGATGGATTTGATCTTCCAGGAAAGCAGAGGAACTTGACCGAAGGGTTGTCACAGGTGAGTGGTGGTGATGGCCTTGGTCAACTTTGATCATCGTCCACACCCGGGGTCAAGTGGGAGTTTAAGGAGGGCTTTAGACAACTTTCTCCTAAGATTCCTGTGGGTGGGGCCCTCTCTCCTAATTTCTCACTCAGGAATGATCCACTCCCACTGGAATACAAACGTTCCTTAATATCACCTGTTTAAAATCTCTCTGGACCTCTCTCTCTCAGTTCTGTTCCATTTCTCTATTCCCCACCCCCAACTACAGGAAAACTTCCCCAAAGTACAGTCTAGACTGTCTCCCATTTTCGCCTCAGTCATTTGCAGCCTAGTTCCCACTTCATTCCTCCACTGAAATCCCTCTTTTTAACACCTACGATCTTCCTTAGCCAGAGGCAGTAGGTACTTCTCTGGGCTCATTTCATACCACCTCTCAGCTTGCTGGACTCAGTGAATAATGCCTTTTCTTCCTGAAATTTTTCTTCACTTGGTCTCTGGGTCAGCCCTTTCTCTGCGTTCTCTTCTTCTCTCACTGGCTAGATCTCCTGCTTTCCAAACTCTAAATGATGGCATGCCCTTGTGTTCAATCCCTTGACATCTTCTCTGTGTACACTCATTCATTGTGATCTCGTCTAGTCCCGCAGCTTTTAATAGCATCTCTCTGCTAAAGATTCTGTAACGTACACCCCCAGCCTTACCCTCTCCCCTGAACTCTCAGATGTTCGACTGCCAACTCCACATGATCCTTGGGTGCCAAAGAGGCATCTCAACCTACCTGTTTCAACTGAGCTCTTGGGCTCCACCTTCCAAACACACTCATCCACGGGTAGTCACTAGGTTAATAAAAGACAACATCATCTGCCCTCAACCAAATGTAACACATGATCAGCCCTAAAATCTTGGGGCCTGTTAAGCTCCTTATCCTGGCACACAATTTCTCATCCTTGGCACTACTGACAATTTGAACTGAATTATTCTTTGTTGTGGGAGATGGTCCATACATTGTGGGAGGCTTGACGTCTTCCTCCAGGAGGTATTGGGATCCATGGACAGATGCTAGACCCATCCAGGGTCAGTCTTCTTCCCTCTCTTGTGGGCCCTAACATACAGGTGAGTGAAGGGACATGATGGTAAACCTGTTGCTCAAGGCCATGCAGTCTCTACCCACTGGATTGCTAGTACCACCCTCCTCCAGTTGTGACAACCAAAAGTCTCTGGATATTGCCAACTGTTCCTTGGTGGGCAACAATGCCACAAATTGAGAAATATTGCTCTAATGTAACAAACATACAGACAGGTAGACCCTTCATGAGTGTACATTTCAATACATCTTCATAAACTGAACATGACTGTCTCATTAACATCCAAATCAAGAAATAAAATATTCTGAGCACCCTAAAAACTTCCTCATGCCCCTTTTTAATCACTACCCCCTCACCCCTTTTGAACTGTGGTGTTGGAGAAGACTCTTGAGAGAAAATTCTGGGAGATGGTGAAGGACAGGGAAGCTTGGCGTGCTGCAGTCCATGGGGTCACAGAGTAGAACACGACTTAGTGAAAGAACAACAAACACACTCTTTGTGTCTGGCTTTTGTTCCATATGATATTTTATCCATGTTGTTTGCGAATTGTAAGATTGTTCATTCCCACTATGGTCTCCACTCTATGAACGTACCACTGCTTATTTGTCCATTTTACTGTTGATGGGCACTTGGGTAACTTTCAGTTTGAGGCTATCGTGAATAATGCTGCTATGAACAATCTTGTCAATGTCTTTTGGTGAACAGGAGCTGTCACTTCTTTGGGGCACAAACCTTGGAGTGGAATTGCTGAGTAGACAGGCATGTCTAAGCTCAGCTTTAGCTGACCGAACAATTTTCCAAAGTGATTTTGCCCAACTCGACTCCCACCAGCAGTGCATAAGAGTCCAGGGGTCCCCCCGACTCCTCTCTCCTTCACATGCAACGTACAATCCAGCAGAGGGTCACGTAGGTTTCTACTTCCAAAATGTATCTGGAACTGGACTGCCACCACCCCAGCCTGGCGCTCATCGCCTCTTAGCTGGTAGTTGCAGGAGCCTCCTAGTTAGACTCCCAGCTTCCACTCGTGCCCTTAGCTGAGTCCTCACCCAGCAGCCAGAGTGATCCTGTTAACATGTAAGTCACAGCACATTGCTCCCCTACTCAGAAACTTCCCATGGCTTCTCTTGTAGATAAGAATCCAGACTCTTCAACAAAGCCTTCAAGTCACAGTATGACCTGCTCTCCTCTCCCCCACCTCATCTCTGCCCCATCGCTCACCTCTCCACTCATTCTGCTCCAGACACACTGGCCCTCTTGTTGCTCCCTGAACTGTCCTAGAGTCCTTGCACTTGCTCTTTTCTCTGCTAGAGGGCTCTCCCCCAGACCTCTGCTTAGCTGGCTCCTTCTCATCTGTGAGGGCTCAAGTCAAATACCGCATCTTCTAAAAGGTCTTCTTACTCCATCCCTTAAAGTAGTCCTTCCCCCTAATCATTATCCCTTGACCCCACCTTGTCTTCTTAACATATACCACAATCTCAAAGTGTCCTGTCTATTCATTTGCTCACTTGTAATCTTTCTCCTCTCACTCATTAGAATCTAAGCCCCACGAGGACAGGAAGCCAGTCCATCTCATCCGATGCTATATCCCCAGTGCCCCAACCAGTGCCGCAGGGGCGCTATCAAGATGTATTGAGTGAACTAAATCCAGCTTAGGAGACCTGAAAGTGAAGTCGCTCAGTCCTGTCCGACTCTTTGCAACCCTACTGACTGTAGCCGACCAGGTTCCTCCGTCCACGGGATTTTCCAGTCAAGAGTACTGGAATGGGTAGCCACTCCCTTCTCTAGGGGATCTTCCTGACCCAGGGATCGAACCTGGGTCTCCTGCATTGCAGGTAGAGGCTTTACTGTCTGAGCCAGCAGGGAAGCCCTGACCTAGACGAGGAGAACCCGAGCTCCAGGAGCCACACACGGGGACACCTGGTGCCGGGGTGGCTCTCAGCAGCGGGTTGGACCCTAAAGCGCTTCCAGCGGAATTGAGAGCCCAAGGCCCCAGAGCCACGTGGCCAGACACGGAGGCACACAGACCGGCGGGCACTAGGACCCTGCGCGGCGCCGCGGCCGGCGGGGGGCGGCCGGCGGGGAGGGGGGAATCCGCTCCTTCTGCCTCCCGGAGCCGGGTTGCGGCCACTTGTGCGACCCGGGCCGGTTCCGCGGCCGCCCGGCGCCTCTCCGCACCATGAGCCGCAGGTTCACCGTCACGTCGCTACCCCACGCGGGGCCCGCCGGGACCACGGACCCGGGGCCCCACCGGCTTTCAGCCACAGACCGCCGCCGCCGCCTCAAGGGGGAAGACGCCAAAGGTAGAGGCCGCGGGGGCGGGGCTTGTTGGTGGGCGGGGCGAGGCAGGGGCGGGGCCACGGCGAGCGGGCCTTTGGTTGGGAGGGGAGGGACTGGGGCCGGTGGGGAGAGGGTCGGTCCCCTCGGAAGGCCGGAGAAGGTAGGTGAGCTGGGCGCTGGGGGACCGAGGAGGGCTGCAGGAGCAATGGTGAGGGGAGGGGCCAGATTCGAGGTGGGCGGGGACACACGGAAGAGGGTGGAGCTAGAGGGGAGGGGGCGGGTCTTATGATACGAAGGCTAGGGCCTCGGGGGCTGGGCCATCTCGGGTAGGGGGCGGGGCTAGAGGGAGGGAGAGGGCGGGCCGTGTGGGTCCAGAGCCAATGGGAGGAGGCAAGACCATCCTGGTTTGCGGACAGAAAAGGGCGGGACCAGAGACGAAAGGGTTCGGGCCAGTAGTGTAGGGGTGGAGTCGACGGAGGGAAGAAACATGGGCCCGGGTCGCTAGGTCTCCAATCCTTAGTGCCCCAAGAGGCGTCGTGGACAGCTCCTTGGAGATCCCGGAAAGAAGACAGGAGAGAGAAGTTTGGGACCCCGGGCAGCTAAGATCCTGGGCGCAATCCGTGGGGACGCTAGTCCTGTCCCTGCGGGGATTCACTTAGCTCCCTCTGCTTCAGTTCCACAAGCGGTGGGTGGAGCCAGCTCTGGCGGGAGCAGGGGCATCTTCCTGGAGGACCCATCGCGGTGGCCTTATAAAGGAGGTTACATGCAGGGTACAGATGAGAGAAGAGGGAAGGGATCCTTCTAGGCTTCGGTGAAGAATTAGCATCCGGATGCACACGCAGTCTTCTCCGCAGGGGTCCCCTTAATGCCTCTAAGGTCTGGGAGGAAGGTGGAGAATTCGCTTCAAGTGGCCCCAACGTGGGGAGGATGAGCCTCCTTGGGCCACCAGGGGTCGCTGCTGAGCCGCAGGTGAGCTCACCCTGACCCCAGCAAACTTAAGCACCAAAAACCCTTTTAGGGGTTTTATCTGGCGAACCTCTCCATTGAATAAATGACCAAACTGAGGCCTAAATTTCCTCAGGGCTCCAGTCCTGTGAACCAACCGCATCCTGACCGTGGTCACCCGGATTATGGGGGGGCTCTTTGCTTTCTTCATCTTTCCCATAATGTCTGTCCCTTTTCTCATTTTCAGTGATGTTCTTCCCATTCTTACAGATTTAAAAGTCAGAACTCTAGGAGCCATCGATGCCTCCTTTTCTCTTCCTACAAGATCTGAGTGGTCCTCATGTCTTGGTCACTTCCGTCAGAACTCATCCTGAATCTGGCCACATCTCTTCTTCTGACATCATCCCCTTGCTCCAAACATCCATCATCTCTCATGTGGACATGACCCCAGCCTCCTCACTGGTCTGCCTGCTTCCTGTTCATAAACACCCCCATCATTTGTAGGATAAGTGGCAAACCTTTAGTCGGTCATTCAAAATCTCCCCTCCTCTGCTCCTGGTATACCTGTCCCTGTTCTCCCCACCTCCACTGGCCAGGGAAACTCCTACTCACTCTGTAAGTTATAGCTCATTTAACCTTTTCTGAAACTCTTTTTCACTTTCTCTCACTTCCAGGCAGAGGCAGACATTCCTCTTCTGCCCACCCAGTGCACCATTATAGCTCATGTCCCAGTGGATGGAAGTTAATTACTTGTGTGTCTCTTACATATCCAGGGCAGGGACCTCATCCTTTTACCTTTATGTTCTGACTGCCAAGCGCTCAGCTGGGCATTTAGTATGTGCTTTACTGCTCATCAGGTGAGAGGGGGAGGGGCTGTAGGCTCCTAATTCCCCTACCTTTGCTTTCTCTCCTGCCATTCCCCATTCCCTGGCCTGAAAATAAGATGGCTTTCTCTCTTATCTCAAGGCGACTGTTCAGTCTTCCTGTTCCCATTTCCAAGCTCCTGCATACTGAAGTAAAATAAAGCTCCCAGTGTTGGGTGTGCAGGTGTGTGTGCAAATTGGATGTGAATCTGGAATGCCGTGGGCTTATGGCAGAGGCGGTGTGTGTGTATCTTTGCATGTCTTGAGGGAGAAGCATCCCACGTTAGCTCTGTTGACCCGTGGGACAGTCAGTGAGTCAGTGCTTATGTGTGTTACTCTATGCCAGTGTGCTGACTGGCATGTTGATGTGTGTATTTCTGTGTCTATCTGTGGGGTGGGTACCTGTGTGCATGAGGTTACTGAAGTTCCATCTTGAGAGTAATTTGGGGATTTTTTCCCCCAAAACTTTAAACTTGTTCTTTTTGTATTGGGGTGTAGCCGATTAACAATGTTGTGGTAGTCAGGTGAACAGGGAAGGAACTCAGCCATGCATATACGTGTATCCATTCTCCCCCAAACCTCCCTCCCATCGAGGCTGGCACTTAACATTGAGCAGAATTAAGGTCCTTGTTGGTTATCCATTTTAAACATAACAGTGTATACATGACCTTCCCCAAATCCCTAACTATCCCTTCCCCTAATCTGGGGATTTTTAGGCCCTGAGACAGCCTCCAGGACCTCTCCTTGGTAGGCCAGTATGTGGGGAAGTAGATAAGAGCTCCCTAGGAGAACTTAAAATCTGGTGGTATCTTTCCCCCAGCTGTTCTTGAGCCAGTGCTCTGGCCCCAGGGGGATGCTCTCCCCACCAGCTGCCCTCACCCAGGTCCTAGGGGAGAGATGGCAGCATGTGGAAGGTGGGGGAAGGTTGGGGGAGCCTTTTGTAGCTCATTTACATACAAGCATTGTCTTTCATTCTGTACCCAGGGAGTGGAGTTTGTTGTCCCTGGGGGGTGCTTCCTGTTGCCAGAGGATAGGAGGGGATATGACTTATGGGGAAGGAATGAAGCAATTCAAAAGCTGATCCTTGAATCTACCACTAATCCTGGGCTGCAGCCCACATGCCTCAGTTGTCTCATCTGTACCATGGGAAGATCGATGATTACTTGGCTGGACCTGGGATCAATTGTTACAACTCTGAGCTACTCCTCCATCCTTTGTATTGGCCCTTGCTATGTCTGTTTCTCATGGAGGAAGACAGAGCGTTGGGAGGAGTGCTGGGCCTGGTTAAGACTAACAGGAGTTGAGATGTGTCCCCATGGAATGAGAGGGAGCCAACTTGTGCTAGGGGGACGGAGCAAGACCACAGTGTAGCCCATCCACACTCTAGCCCAGGCTCTGTGGTGTGGCCTTGGGCACATTGCTTCCCCTCTCGGGCTTCAATTTCCCCAGCTGTATATAAAGAAGTTGAACAGGAAGCTATCTGAGGGTCCTTCTAGCCATAAAAATGCTTAGATTCTTTGATGATCTAGAAAGGTGATGTTCTCTACCTCCCCCATACCTAAACCTCATGTTTCAGTCTCTATCTGTAAATTGGGAAGAACAACACTGAATTATTGGTATAAATATCTGATCTGGAGATCTCCAGCCTATCCAAGGAGTTCTCTGGTCACCCACTCATCAGCCCAGGACTCCGAACCTCACTGCCCACTACCTCAGCCCAAGGTGAGCCTTGGGAATTACCATGGCAACAAACTGGTTATGAACGGGCTGTAGTTGCCATGGTGATGGGCTGCTCTTTCTCTCTCTCTGTCTCTCTCATCCCCCTCACCTCCCCTCCCCTCTTCTCAATGAACCAGAGTGATCAGCGGGCACCAGCTTCTCCAGGTGGGGTGGGGATGGGGTGGGTACAGTGAGAAGGGGGTCCTGGTTGAGAAAGAGGGAAGATGGACTGAATCTGTAGAGGAATGGGGGGCTGTCGGGGTGCCATTGCCATGGTGACAGGGCTGCAGCCTGTTAATTAAGCCCCTGGTTACCACGGAGATGATGGTGGTTGACGTGTCTGTGGCGGGCCCTGTGTGTGTGTGTGTGGGGGGGGCGTGCTCTGCCCCAGACTCATCAATTCATGGTGAGGGCTTGGGTCTAGAGGAGGGGCCCTCCCAGTGGGGAAGAGATGAGTGAAGAATGGAGTTCAGGGCTTTAGCTCCATGAGGCCAGAGCTGGGGGTGGGTGGTTTAGGCTGTGGGGATAATGAAATAGAGACAAGGGTGGATAGGGACTGAGCCAGAAAGAGGAACACTACACCTACTTTTCATAGAAAGAGGACCCCATCAAGTGGCTCCAGTTTCTTCCAAACAGCTCCTTGTCCTGATTCAATGGCTGGGACCCTGGGCTGGAGTTCAGGGAGCCAGATTCTAGTCCCTAGTCTGCCACAGGTTCATCCCATGGAGCGAATTCATAGCTTTCCATTTCTATTTTCTTTCAGTTTCTTCCAATTTTGCCAGATATGAGGGCTGGTTAAAAAATAACTTACAAAGTTCCTTCCAGTGTCCAAATCCTGATATTAGGAGGCAGTTTCCCTGACCTTTCTCTCTCTCTCTCTCTCTGAGAAGCATAAGTGGATGGGGAGATGAATTTTAGAGACTCAGAGTTGAGATATAAGACCCGTGGCAGGCTCTGCACCTCATGATGATTTAATGACAGGATGCCCCTGGCCATAGATCCTCTGAGGGCTCTGGGCGGGGATGGGGTGCTGAGCTTGCAGCCATGTTCCTGGGGCTCAGAGCTGAGGGTCACCCTTACTGGCCACGGCCAGGCTGTCAGTGCAGGAGGTGCCTGCAATGTGTTTTCTGAAAGCCTCACTGCAGAGGCTTGGCCTGAGGCCAGAATGGGGATCAGTCTTCTTGAGAGGTGGGGGCTGTGAACCAAAGGACTGGGTCTCCCCTTGTGGCTATCTCCTCAGTTGGTCTTGGCTCCTTGTGAAGAGCTCCATGCATTTGGTCTGAGATAAATGGAGAGTGCATGGAGAATTTTCAGGGTGGGAAGAAGGCCCAGGGATTATGCAGCTTCACTCTTTCATTCTATAGATGGAGATACTCAGGGCCTGAGAGGAACCCAGCTTTGCCCAAGGCAATGCAGAGTTTTGGGGCAGAGGACAGGACAGCACCACTATCCCCTGAATCCTGGATGCCTTGTGAGATAGGAGATCTGGTGAGGGT